AAACCGCGGGGCCCAACGACAACAACATGTGAGTGTGACACCAGGGTCTCTGTACCCCCTCTATCCCCTCACGGGGCCCCTCTACCCCCTCAACCCCCTCACGGGGATCCTCTACCCCCCTCACGGCGATCTTTTATCATGCCAACTTTTCACAGTAGGAGCGAGGCTGCTGCTGCTGCTTGGTGTCATCCCGATGTTAACACTTTGGCCGGCACTTTCCAGCATTGGGATGTTTGTCATTGCATGGGGAGGAGGGAAGGAGGCAGCGGGGTTGGCTACGGGAGGGGATCCCATGGGGAACCCGGGGGGACCAGGAGGGGACCCACGGACGACGAGGGGGAGAACGGAGCGGCGGCCCCCCGGGGTCGGTAATCGAACCCTTTGATCGGAGCGAGGCATCCACCGGCCCCACGTTGCCTTTACACAATTGCGGTTGACCGATGCGATTTTCTAAACATTCTACATGGGGGTTTAAAAATATATTTATATGACGTTCGTCCTTATTTGGAGTCGAGTCTTTGCTTAATAGGAGAAAAAATAACTAAACATGAAACATGTCACTGCCTCCTGTGACCACTTGTCCTGGTCTCAACATTTCAATGCCGCGGGCGAGAATCAAAACCCCACAACGATTCTGGCGAAGTCTCCTGGCGAGATGTTTGCGCCTTGTGCCGCGACTCGAGGTTGCACCGGGGGCGTGACGTGGTTGTTGTTGTTTGTGGTGTTGTTGTTTTTGGTTGTGAATCCTGTGTGGTTGTGAATCCTGTGTGGGTGTGCGTGCGAGTCCAGGTCGGCCTTGGATGGCGACGCGGCGAGGTCGCTGCAGGATGTGAGCGATCGCCTGGCACGGGTGGCGCTTGGATGTCCTTTGGGCACCCACGACGAGGCTGTGACGTTGGGCGAGGAGGAGGGTGCCCTCCTGAGGGCGGTCAGGTGATTAAAAAATAACTATCAAACTTAAAGCTTTTTATTTTACCAGGTATGCCCCCCCTCCTGAGCTATGTAGCGCCTTTCAGAAGCGACATGGCCATCGCAAACGATAGCTCAACGAAGTGGCTTATCACGTGGAAATTTAGAGCTGCCAAGTACTCTAACCCAGGGGTGGGGAACCTTTTTTCTGCCAAGGGCCATTTGGATATTTATAACATCATTCGCGGGCCATACAAAATTATCAACTTAAAAATTTGCCAGTTATATTTGGTCAAACATTTAATTAACTCACCCCTAATGTGATGGCTGGAACTGCTTCTCTTTGGCGAGGCGTGTGATGTTAGCTGGTATTGATGATGTTGCTACTCGCAACTGCTTTTCCAGGTTTGCTCCTAGATTTATTGAATTTCGAGTCCCGCCTGCGGTTGCCTTGGCAGGGCCAGACCAAATGATTTTGCGGGCTTCATAAGGCCCGCGGGCCAGACGTTCCCCACTCCTGTTCTAAACGCATGTTTCTAAATGTGAAGGGGAAAAACCGGAGAACCCGGAGAAAAATCCACACGACCACGGGGAGAGACGCACAAACTTCAAATATACAGCAGGCGTCAGGGTCGGGATTGAACCCACAACCTCCTGCATACTAGGCGAGATGGTTACATCTCGCCAGCATAGTCGACATCCATGTGCCTGCGGGCTCAGGGTCAGGCTTCAGACAACCATTGCTCCATAGTGTTCTTCACTGATTTTCAGAGGGGGCGCAACTTTCGCCGATAAGACATCAGTGTGAGGGCCGCCACACATTAAAACCATTGGGGTTGACATCCATGATGGGGTGCGTCAGGGGCCGCACTAAAGACCACCGTGGGCTGCCAGTGGCCCACGCGGGCCTTGCAATGAAGAACATTGCTTTAAAACCTTGGCCGGTCCCAATCCATAGCCAGACGGGAGTTTGGGACAACGCCTGAGCCGGGGCTCCCGGGTTTGTGTTCAGCGTAACAAGGGGCAACCTCTCAATTGGAAGTGGAGCAGGTGGGTTGTGATGTTGCTGCTTGGCTCGAATAGAACATGAACGCTGGTAGCAAAGGTTGTACAGTGCAAATACCCACGTCAGCACTGAGCTTACGAGATTCTGGCTTTGCATTTGAACCTTATGGTGGGACCCCAGGGTCCCATAAGCCCCCGGCTCTCGCGTCAGCTGGGGCTGACATCTTCCCCCCCATCCCGATGCCAGGGGGGAAATAGGTGAGGTTTAAGACTGTGGCTTGTCTACCTGCTATGGTTTGCATTGGCTTATGAGTCCTGACCTACCCAGAAGACCGAGCTGTTGAAGGAGGGTGTTCCAGCTCTCTAAGAGAAAGCAGTGGTCCTGTTCTCACCATCTAACCGTCTGCAATAACCCACGCTCCCATCATCGAAAAAAACCGAAATGCTGCTCTGAAATGTCTGGATTCAGCCATGGAACAGGATCCTCATTCAAAAGAGGATGTCATCACATCTTGTGGCCTTGTGTCCATCACCTCCATCTATTTTGGTTATTGCCAGTGTTAGTTTAATCTTTATGTTAATTTAAGTTTCAGGTCAATACATTTTGATGGTTTCTGTAAAAATAAAATCGCATGAATTAAGTAACTGCACAAATGGCTCCGCTTAATTTTTTGAGGAATTTGTTTTTTAAATATATCTTTGTAAATTATTACAATCTTGGATGTTTGTTGTTTCAGTTTCTGCGAGGAATTGCAGCACCAGAGCCAGGAGCTGCATGCTGTAGGCGCAGCGTGTACGTAGCATGCCCCATCACTCTTCTCACCCATCACTGTCTCACCCGTCACTTTCACTCGCCGCTGCCTCACCCACCACTGCCTTGCCCCGCACTGTCTCACCCCACATTGTCTTCCGCCACGGTCTCACCAACACGGTCTCACCCGCACACTCTCCTCCACACTGCCTAACCTGCACTGCCTAACCCGCACTGCCTAACCCACTGTTGTTTCACCCGCACTGTCGTCCCGTCACTGTCACCAACACTGTCTCACCCCATTGTCTTTTTCTTTGCAGACATCAAGGATAAGGAACAGGCTATTTCCCCAAATGCCCTTCATAGAGAGTAAGATCCATCAGTCCTCACTAAAATGCCTTTGTTAATGCACTTTGTGCTTTATAGGACATTATTTTGTGGCCCATATTTAGGTCCATCTGCTGACCCCAACCCAGGAACCTTTCTCTACGCAGTGAACAGTTTTGGTGGTGAGACAGGGCCCGTCGAAGCACGTTTTCTGCTTGTTACTGAGGTTCACGGTTCGAATCCACGGCTGCCTGATTTATTACTGCGGCTCTGCTTTACAGTGGTCATTAATAGTCTTCAATATCAAGGTCCAAAGTTTCAAAATTTGAAATTGTAATTATTCATCGCTGCCTATTAGCACACTAATACCCCAGGTCACACTTGCAAATGAGACTGTTATGTTCTCTTGGGTTCTTACCTGGTTTTACAAAATTTAACCTAAAACTAGAGTTATACTTTTCACTCTGTCTAGATTTTGTCTAACATGTTGCCGCCCAGTTCATTCACCTCGAAGACCTCAAGTTTTCGGACAAGGAAGCACAAACTTGTCTTTATTGGCACAACTATGTTGTTAGGTTGACACAATGTACTGTGCATGATGTATTATCACCTACACACAAAGCTGCAACCACCTTGTGGTTTAAAGAAATAAAATTAAATTCATTTGTGGCTTTGTTCTTTACAGGATTCTGGACTTGCATAAAACATTGGAGAAATCATCTGGATTCACCTCCAACAAGGAACTCGTGATTAACAAGTAAAGTGCCCTGTTCCATTGTCAATGTTCAGTATTCTGTCAAGCGTTCATCAAATAGTTTTTCTAATACATTGGGTGCAATTTTACTATGTACTGAATGCTGCTTACAATACAGTTTGGATGTATTAAGTGCTTGTACAATATGTACAACAGCATCCCATTGCTGTATAAGGAAGATGTTCGTTATGAGAATATGGGGAGGGGGTAGGGTTAGGTGGGGTGTAGGGTGGCACACTTAACACAAGTGCCTTGCAGTAAGAAGAGGCCTCGGTTAGGTGCCTTGCTGTGTGCAGTTTGTATGTTATCCCCCTGTTCTGCATGTGATTCCTCCAGGTTCTCAGATTTCCTCCCATAGCTAAAAATCCCACACTGTAACTGGTATTGACCAAACTTCCCAATGTTGAAAAACTATCTGCAAATGAAATGGATTATGCACAGCAATCATCGCCCCTCCTGAGAAAATATGGCAATACCCTCATGAAAAATGCAATTGGGACTGATTTGGATTCCAACTGCATCCGCCATAGTAAGCAGATGGAATTTGTCCGATGGTTGCTGCAACAAAAAGTGTTAGGTTATAAATTTAAACGAATAAATGTTCGTAAATCCGTGTGCAAAATGCTATTGCTGCAGTAAGTTCTAATGTAATTTTGTCAATTCCTTTTGGTTCGTGTGCTCCAGCTTGCTTACCAACAGGGCACTTATCCAGACAATGACGGAGAACAGCAGTGAAAAGACAGAGTATGTGAAAACAATACATTTCTTTAATATGTGCATTTTATGACGAAACTATTTTTATTGAATATATTCAATCCGTTCTCACTACATACTAATACATTGCGGATTTTATTAATATAAACTTCTGCGTGATATTTCTGTGTGCGCGCAGGGCAATTTTAGCACAGCTCTTTCACAAAACCTCACTGAGTCAGCAGATTATTGCAGCTGTAGAGGCAAGTATATTAGTCAAGAGCACACATTTAATATCGCTTCTACACAGTGCGTACATGTATTGTAAAATGTATGTGCTGTATTGTGCACAACACGTGCAGTTGTTATCGACTTCCTCGTAGTCTTCTACAGTTCTGTGTAATGCAGAGTTTGTGCGTCATGTTGTATAACTTGGTTTGATGAACGTAAAAGCGTACAATGAGGCATTGGTATAAATGTATACATCCGACATTCCAGTTTGCTGCAGTCGATGATATTGTGTCCTGTTTTACAGAAAAAGAATAAGCTCCTTCAGGAGCTCTAGAGACCCAAAGCGAGGTACTAGGTGAGTGACTGTCGGCAAGGAGAAGTAACAATGCAGGACAAAGCGTTTCCACACGACCGTCCCCAGACGTAATATTGGTGCATTATTCTTTAGGAGTTTAAAGCTGTCTGGCAATGGAGTTTTGCTTAACAATGTTAGCAGCTTCCAGGTCCTCAAAGTGCAGTATAACGCATCATTCTTGACAACACAGTTGTGCTGCATGAGACCGAAACTCTATAATTAAGGTTTTCTTGATTAGATCGCGTAAATATAAATGTCGTTAAACCCGCCACCACCCGACGCAGCCAATTAGTAATGCTTGTCACGTAAACAAAACGTGCCAATTAGTTACTTTAGCAAGCCGGTGTATTGGAGGGTAAACCCACAACATTTACAATTCGAGTACGGTGTTTCGCTGGTGATCACAACCAGCATCATCAGGCGACAGCGAGAATTATGAAGAGATCCTCCTGATTCAGTCTTAAATACAACACATTTATATTTATGCGATCTAACCCAAAAAAACTACTTTATTATGGATAACTAGTGTATTTGCCCATCATGATAAGTTAATAAAAAATAAATGTAATGAAGAATACAATTTAAAGATTGCATTGAATTTATTTAATCAAAACCTTGTGACTTATTCACAGTGATAGCAAATGCAGGAATGATTGGAAACTGTCTTCGCTTCAAAATAAATGATAAATTCACATCCCACGGTGCCAGATAAATTCTGGGAATGAAGACAATATCTCCGATTGGATTCTGAAAAGATTTCGGCCACAACAAAATGACTGCATTTCACGAATCACCTGACGCGTGCCATCGCATAATCCTTTTTTGGGGTTGAGATTTAGAATCGGCATAACAATGGTTCCCTTTTTCAAAACCAATTCATGAGGCATGCATTCCAAATGGTGTTAGCGTGCTGCAAGAAATTCTACTGGATAATAAATTGACTTCACTCGGATCCACGTAGCCTACCCAGCGCTACACGGCGTGTCGAGCGTTAGGTACAGATCACCAACAACTACATGGAAATTTATATTCTTGGTTCTTTCGGTAAAGTCACGTAGAAGGGAAATAATACAAATTTAAAAAATTCTCACGAATTTTTTGTGAAAACCACAGCAAGAAAATTTAAAAGTGGTCTCGGAAGCCTACATCTTAAACCGACTGAAACTCTAACATGTGTCTGCCCACAGCCATGAAGGAACAGAACCAGGCTTTGCTGAAGGAGGTGAAGGAGGTGATTGGGGCCCAAGTGAGTCACAGCCAACAGCCGCAGACAAAGCAGCAACTGGCCGGGAGCCACAAATTGACCATTGCCAACAATCGTGTCACCATTCTCCGCAACGTGTTGCAGGTGAGAAGGGGCCTCATTGTACCCCAGTGTCACCCTAAGCTCTCTACTGCTATGCGGTGAGTTTATTAGAATTTGTGCAACAGGCCGCTCGTTTTTTTTAAGACGGTGGCACAAGACTGAAAGTCTTCTCGGGACAGGTGGGTTCTTATACCAGAGTTTGTGTTCACTCAGGCATCTAAGTCAACTAAACCATGCATTCGCCTTTTTGAGTTATATATTGGCTGAATTGCTACTCTAATACAAAAACAGGTGGATTAGATCATTAGAGAACACTCATTTTGACTTAAATTAGGCTGCTTGGGCAGGACAATTCCATAGAAAGGACGACGACCGATGGTCAAGACTAACAACAGGCAGCCAAAGAAAATTACCAGTGTGTTGATGGATCAATGAGATCAGCTTGTGCATGGGAACGATGGATTGTTGCTTCGTAAGACCACGGAGAGATTGGCGACAACTTGGGAAGCTCTTAATCCAGTAGTTCATGTAAAGAATAGATGTCTCACTTGTTGAATCTAATCAAGTTGTTTCTTGTTGTTGCAGGCTCTTATACAAAGCAGTGGTATCAATTGGGCTGCAGATCCTAACCTACTTGGTTTTTGTCCTGCAAATGGGCAAAGACAAGAAGTTTTAACCGTGTTAAAATACTAAGTGATTTTTGCTAAGTCTCTAAAACATCTACATTTGTAGTTTTATTTGCACAAGTACATTTTTAATTTTGTGTTTTTTTCTGTATAATATAAGCAGCAATGTTATTAATTCCTTATCCATCTAAAAAGTGAAATAAAAACATACTCTTGACGAGATTTATTTTTTTTGTTTTTTTGCGCCTAATTGGCTTTGCCCTGCCTACTTGCGTTGACGTGCAACTTGCAATGCACCATTGTGTGTGATTGTATCTCCTTGCTGAATCGACACCTGGCAAGCTT